GACTTCTGGGTCTTTGTTAAAAATACAGATTCTTATTCTGTAGTTCTGGGTTGGTGCCTGAGTTTTTGCACATCTAACAAGCTCCCAGGTAATGCTGATAATACTAGTCCATGAACAACACTTTTCACGCCAGACTGGCTAGAGCTCAAGTCCCAGTTGTCTCTCTCACTAGGTTTGGGAACTTAGAGAAGTCACTTAACCTCTGTGTGTGTCATTTTCCTTGTATAGGAAATGGGGATCATGATGGCATAACTTTTCTTAGATTTGGAATGAGGAATAAATGTGTTATATTAAAATTACTTGCAACAGTGTCTGGCACATAATAAGTGTTAAGTGCTAGTTATTATTATTATTAGTCAAGACTCTCAGTAATTTAGCTTCTACATTCTTCTCCAAAACTATTTTTACCATGGCATCGATGTGCGCATGCACACATTCTATTGCTCAATCAAGCCAAATGAACTTCAGCAAATTAAGAACTGAGCAAATGCCTCTTTTCTGCCGGGCCTCCATGGGCACTTCTCTGCAGAGCACTCTGCAAACAGACCTAACTCACCTTACTTGCTTTCAGGTGCCCTCTCCTCTGGAAAGAACTTATAGACCACCCTCCACCCAAATTTAAATGTGGTATTACTTCTGCATATTCCCATACTACCAATGTGCCCTCTTGGGCTCAGATTATAATCTCATTTATTTATCTGTATATTCTGTAAGGCTATATACTCCATTAGGGCAAGGAACTGTGGCAATTACCACTGAATTTCTAGTATCCCACACACTCTTTTGCAGATTTCAAGTGATCAGTAAGCATGAATGCATTTGATGGACACATTTCCAAAGACTTGTAAAATGAGACATGGAGTCAGGGAATAGATAGAAAGCTTTAAGATCTTATTTGAGAAAAGGGAAGTATTGGAGATAATAGAATGAGCTTCTCTTCAATACTGCCTCTGGGTTGGATTGTTAACCCACTGGAAAAGAAAAAAATTTTTTTAATTCATTAAATAAATAAGCAAGGCTAGAAAGTCAGTGCAAGAGCGATTGTGTGATACAGAGAAGTGAGTCAGAGCTTTGAAGTCTGGTCCATGCTGAGTTCCCTGGGAACTCAGGCAAATTAGTTTGCCTAATTACCTTAAAGCTGGGATAAAAACACCCATCTTGTAGAGTTTTGTATTAGAGCAATGCTAACAGTAGTCATTTATGTTTTTATTTCTCCTCAAATTCTGCTGTTACAATTCTGTTGCTACTGGACCTTAAACCCATCTTACTTGATTGTTAGCAAAGCTCTGAGGTAGTCCTTTGCTTAATCATTTT